TGCACGTAGGGAAGCGCTCGGGCTGTAAGGGGCGGCGCATGGGCTGCAAAGGACGGCGCGCGGGCAGGAAAAGGCAGCGCGCGGGCTGCAAAGGGCGGCGCGCGGGCTGCAGGGGCGGCGCGTGGGCTGCAAGGGTGGCGCGCGGGCTGCAAAGGGCGGCGCTCGGGCTGCAGGGGCGGCGCGCGGGCTGCAAGGGCGGCGCGCGGGCTGCCAGGGGCAGTGCGCGGGCTGCAAAGGGCTGCGCGCGGGCAGGAAAGGGCAGCGCGCGGGCTGCAAAGGGCGGCGCGCGGTCTGCAAGGGCAGCGCGCGGGCTGCCAGGGGCAGCGCGCGGGCTGCACAGGGCGGCGCGCGGGCTGCAGGGGCGGCGCGCGGGCTGCTAGGGACTGCGCGCGGGCTGCTAGGGACTGCGCGCAGGCTACAAAGGGAGATGCGCGGCAAGCAGGGCGCCGCGACGCTCAGGGCAGGGCGCTACGGGAAGCTAGCGAATCGGTGGGCCCTAAAAAAACGGTTCTGGACAGGGCCTCAGATTCGTTTTGAGGTTGGCTGATTCATCAGCCTTGGTACACAAATGTAGGTTGATGAATCAGTCTTAGCAAAAAAAAAATCACTGAAAAAACAGAGTTACCTAGAAAAAAAAACGTTGGAACGTCAGTGTCATTGAGAATAAAAGGCTGTTTTTTTTTTTTTAGGTTTTTCCTACAGATTGCAACCACATATTTTAGGGCGGTACGTCATTATCGCTTTGCTCCTACGCAGGGTGCTTAGCACAGGTGCGGCCAAGATTGTCTTCGTGCTGCTCACCCCCCCTCCCCCCCTTCCCCCTGTGCGTTGTGCACACACTCGATGGGGGCCAAGATCAGCGAGTGCACCAGCTCTGCTCCTAACTGCACGGTATGGGAGCAACAAAGAGATGGGAGAGTTCAAAGGGGAGAGGTGGGTGGGGAGGGGGAAAGCGAGGGTGCAGAGGAGAGGGAATAGATCATCAGTGCAACAGAGAGCTGCCAAGAGCTGAGCATGCACCAAAAAGGGTGGGAGGGGAAGGGGGGGAAATGGGTATGTGGGACGGGAGCGTGGAAGAGATGGGTGAGTTGAAGCAGGAAATGTGTAGAAGTGCAAATAGGGTGGTGGAAGAGAGGAAACGATAGCACTGGGTTGAAGAAATGCGACAACACGGCATGGAGAATCGGCAGCGACGCGGCGTTGACGAGCTGGTGTAGCGACGACAACGAACTGGTATTCGGGACGTGCAGGCGCAGGCGAAGGGAATTTAGCGAGCACGGTGACAAGCAGGCATCGGCGACGAGCATGTGCAGACGGCGGGAAAGAGCAGGCGTCACAGCGCAGGTGACGGCGCGGCAACGAGCAGGCGCAAGCTTAGGAATAGGCATGCATGGGTAGCACGGGTGTCAACGATTGAGGAAACTGCGTTGGGAGTAAGGCAACGTATGTGTTTTTTTATCAAACAAAGGCGTAAGGGTAGACTAAGGGCCTAAGGGACAAGCCACGGGACGCGTGGGAACGGGAAGTGGGTGGAGGTGAGTCTCTTGCAGGGCTGATTTTATCAGGGTAATTACCCTGATTTCAGGGTGATTACAGGCTTCTCACTTGGTGGTCCCTGCAATTTCAGAATTTCTGACTTGTGAACACTGATCCATTCAGAATAGTGCTTTAGCGAACCCTGAAATATTGTATCTAGGCTCAGAGTAGTGTTCTTACTGACTCTGTCAATGTAGAGTACGCGTTCTGTGGACTCTGAATTTGACCTTATCGGAAAGAAGTTTCTCAGATTTTTCCTTCCGATAACCCCGCCTTCGGATTGGTCGCAGTACAGCCAGAGCGTGAGCAGCGCGCGGCAACATGTCTGACAGGTGAATACATTCTGCGTATGTTCACAGAATTCAAAGATGTCGTTGTATTGTCGCCATTACGTGTGCGTGAAGTTACCAACACATTTTTTGCGTTTCGCACAATGAAGTTGGCGAATCGCAGGTAATCAGCGAATAGGAAATATTGGCACATCTATTTACCGAACTGTTTGGTGGACCGAAATTGCTCGTTTCTTCCCCGCGCTAAAACATGTGGAGAAATACCAATTTAACGTAAGTAAAAGGTTAGAAAGTAACGCGCACAAGGTGTTCACGAAATGATGTCGCGTTGTGTTGGGATCATGCGGAGTGAAACTTTTTTCCCCGTTAAACACAGTGCGCCTTACTACATTGAAGTTCAATTCCCGACCCTGAGCAATCAGAGTTAACTACTTTTCAACACTGAGCAATCAGAGTAGCCTACTTGTGGAAGATATGCACCCATAATACAGGGGGAAAATTTTCCCCGGAATCAGGGAGGCTTAAAATGAAACGTCAGCCCTGGTCCCTTGTGAGTCTTGCTCGACTCTTGAGGTTTTGGGATATGGTTGGTTTGAGGAACACTTGTGGGAGGACAATCAATATCTGGTACAACATATTCGGGGACACCCGCAAATTCGGCGTGATTGACGGTGGGACTGTCGAATTGGTGTCAGTACCTAGACATCCGAAATTCAGCGCACCTACGCGAATCTCCATTACTGGGATTTCAGCCAACCCCCCCGTTACGACGCTGGTCTGTCAGTGTACACTACAGAAAAAAAACTGAAATATCAGCCCTTTCATTGAAAAAATATCTGAAAATTCAGCCCACACACTAAAAAAAAGCTGACAAATCAGCCCCACTATCTCCCCAGCACTAAAAACACAGCCTTTTTAAGAGGGCCCAAATTTCAAGGGTATTTTACCCTTTTTGCCCTGATGGTAGGCCACTTTTTGGCAGTTACCTTTGTCAAATCAGGTTATGGAAATTTTTACCCTAGTGAAATCAGGATACGTTTTAAAGTACTCTTGTAAGAATTTTGGTTACACTGGCTGTATTAGGGTACGGGCTCAACTACACTTTTACCGGAACTTTTTTTAACCGAGGATTCCGCCACAGTACGCGCCAGGACAAAATTCACCGCGGTCCCACTGGACCATTTGTACGGTACGCCCACTGGCGCGCCAACGTAGAAGCAGTGGGGCTGCACGCGCCGCTTACGATTGGTCCGTTGAGCAACATCTATGCCAACGCACCCCGGTTTAGGGCGTTCCTGAAGCATCGCTCAGTGCCAACGGTGCCAAAATGCACGCCAGGTAAGTTTCGTGCTGTCGTTTGCACCACATGGCAGTCATTGTGGTGTTGCAGCCTCTGCCATGCAATTTCCGCGGTGCGCGGAAACCGTGCTGCTTGAGGCTTCTTGGGCTTTGTGATTCCCAAGGGGTCTCACAGCCTCTCGCCATTCTCTCACTTTTTTCACGTTCGTTGTTTCGAATGTCTGCCGCAGAGTAGTGGCCTTAATACATTTAACGAGGTAGTACTGTTTGTATGCATTAAATTCTACTGAGAAGTAATTGTTAGAAGAAAAAGTACTTGTGCGTAAGAAACAGTGTATGGGATATATTACCCTGCTGAAATCAGTGTACCGTCATACCCCGGATATAAGCGCCACCCTCGGATAAGCGCCTGGCGCTTTTAATTGGCGTGTGGCGCTTACCGTCATACCCCGGATATAAGCGCCACCCGCGGATAAGCGCCTGGCGCTTTTAATTGGCGTGTGGCGCTTATATCCGCTGCTAGATTATAAGCGCACCCCCTGAAAAAAACTTGTTTTATTATAAGCGCACGTAAACTTTAAATTTCAAAATGTGTGCAAAACACTGTAACGATTTTGACTTTAGCAGGGGGATGTGTTGCAGTTTCGCTTCCCTTCACATTCGGAGCCTGCACTGGATGCGGATCCAGTCAGCAGGAGCTGTCAGGACCTGAATGTGAGTCAGATTGAGTGTATCTCCCAGCGCGCGCGAGAAAAAGCACAGGCGACCCCATGTAACTTCGACTCGATTGAAAAAGCAAGCACGAGATCTACAGTTGGGTGTTAAAAACTTTAAAATATATATATATGTCATTTTATAAACGCCGGCGCTTATAAATTTACTCGATTATAAGCCCACCCCCCTGAAAAAAACCTGTTTTATTAGTGCCCCCCATGGGGGTATATCCGGGGTATGACGGTATATCCGCTGCTCGATTATAAGCGCACCCCCTGAAAAAACTTGTTTTCTTATAAGTGCACATAAACTTTAAATTTTGAAATGTGTTCAAAACGCTGTAACGAACTTTACTTTAACACGCGGATGTGTTGCAGATTCGGTTCCCTTCACATTCGGACCCTGCACTGGATGCGGGTCCAGTCAGCAGGAGCTGTCAGGAGCTGGATGTGAGTCAGATTCACTCTCATCCCAGCGCGCGCGAGAATTTCACAGACGACCCCATGTAACTTCGACTCGATTGAAAATGCAAGCACGAGATCTACAAATTGGTGTTCAAAAACATAAAAAATATATATGTCATTTTATAAACGCCGGCGCTTATAAATTTACTCGATTATAAGCCCAACCCCCCAAAAAAACCTGTTTTATTGTTGCCCCCCATGGGGATATATCCGGGGTATGACGGTACCAGAATTTTTAGGCTGCTGTAAACAGTGTACAAGAAAAATTACCCTAACAGTCAGGGTACGGAGGGCCTGCCACCCTGATTTGAAAGAGTGAGCCTAAACCTATTTTGGGCCCTGCTTTTTAACCCTAATCATCCTTTTTTCGCTGACTTCTGAGGCCCTGGTTCTGGAATAGGACCTGCTTTGAAACCATGTCAAGAAACTGAACAAGAATGAATGAACTAACCCTAATTGGGTACAAGTACTAACCCTAATTGGGTTGTACCCCATATAGGCTACCCCACTACAGCCTACACAACACAATATTCTGACAGTATTGTGCGTATATATAGCCTGGCATTGTACCCAAATTATCATAATCTAATTTTTGTACTCGATCCTCAAGGGCGACTACAAAAAAGGCTACCGTACACCCTGACCTGCACATTTTACAATATACCCTCCTTGTGTGTCCAAGTCCCACGAATTCCACCTACCCTACTCGGGAGCCATATTCCCAACCTTCCAGCGGCTTCAACGTGAGCCCATTGCTCACATCCATGCAATGCATGAGAGGCACATGCGGGTCTTGAGCCAACACCTGCTCCAGCACCTGCGCCTGCCCATCCGGGCAGCGCTCGTTCCCTGGTGGGAAGTGCAGGCACGGCTCGGGCGGTGCTCGCTTGCACGTGGCACTGACGAACATGGTGTGGGGCACGCCGAAGAGCGAGGCGCAGAGGTAGCCGAAGGTGGAGACCTCGGAGATGACGAGGGCGTCGGAGAAGAGCGCGAGCGTGTAGATGTCCACAATCGCCCTGTCCACTCCGGCCTTGTCGCCGTTGTTCTGCTTCTCGTCGATCGTCAGCCGGACTATGTGCACGTGGGCGTCTGATGCGCCACTGCTGCTGCTGCTGTTGGCTGCATCTGGAGACGTGGGCGCAGGAGCAGCAGTGGGAGATGCAAGAGCAGGAGAAGCAGCAGAGGTGGTGTTGATGGGCGGTAACTTAACACCCATGGCAGCATGTGTGACGTCATGCCCCACACTCACTCGCACTGCACTCATGTTGCCTGTCACTGCCTCTGAGAGGTCATGCACCAGAGCAGCGTTCAGGGACGCCACCATCACCTCTGTCACATTCCCTGATAGCTCCTCTAACCCATAGTCATCCCCACTGCCGTCACCGCCTCTGCCACCACTGCTGCTGCTGCTGCTGCTGCTGCTGCCATTGCTTGCAGAAACTCTCCCTAACTCCCCTCTTTCCCCTCCCCCGATTCCGTCCCCCGCTCCTCTCCCTTCCCAGCCCTCTCCTCCCTCCGCCCCAAGCCTCGTCTCCCTGGCCTCCTGCAGGACCGACGAGTTGAGAGCATCCAACAGGCACCGAGCCATGTTCACCGTGTCGTACCGCAGTCGACCTTCGTTTGCGTGCGTGGGGAAGCGCCCCTGCAGGCCGACACGAGCGGGCGCGGGGGCGATGAGGGTGTGGAAGCGGTGGGTGATTTGCGCCCAGATGCGGTTGCGGGGGAAGAGGAGGAGGCGGGAGAGCGAGCGAAAGGGCTGGTGGGAGGGGAAGAGGAGGAGCAGGCGGCGGCGGAAGGAGGGGAGGAGGTAGAGGGCGGGCAGGAAGTATTGGTTGGAGGAGAGGAGGAGCGTGGGGGTGCGGGAGAGCCATTGCTGCTCGGATTCGCAGAAGAAGAGTTGACCGGATCGAGAGGTTGTGTGAAAGATGTTCACCTTTAGACTGGGGAAAAGGTGAGGGGGATTGGGGGGTTGGAGGGGAATGGGGAAGGAAGTACGCGGGAGAAGGCTGGTGGGGGGGAGGCAGACGACGGCACAGGTGGAGCGTAGGGAGGGGAGGGGGAGGTGCAGGGAGAGGATGCGAGGGGTCACGTGGGGGGGATGAGAGGGAAATGGAGAAGGGAGTCATAAAGGAGGAAGTGGGGGAGCGTGGGAGGGATGGGGGCGACGGAGGGACAGGGGGGTCATTTCGTGGGGGGGTTGAGATGGGAAAGAGAACACACGAGATGGAGTGAAGAGGGGGGGATAAGAGAGCGTGGGAGTTGGGATTGTGGAACGCTGCTAAGAGGCAGAGAGGGCGGAGAGACAAGAACGCGGAGAGAGGGGTGTTGAGTGATGGCATTGCAATGAGTCATGGCATGGCACTACCGCAAATTGACATGGCAAACATACAGACACATGGGCATCTAACACACACACATGGTCATGGCACACACATATGGGCATGGCACACACAGTGGTATGACATGGTATGTCATGACATGGCATGGGACAGCATGGGATGGCAATGGAATGGATGGCATACATTGGTGGTACTTGGTCCTCTCCTTCTGCTGGCGTTTCAGATGGTGGGGGGGAAGGCAGAGGAGGAAAGGATGGGGGTGGGGTTGGGGGAGGGGGTGGTGGCGCTGCAGGGGGTGGGGGGCGTGCTGCTGCAGCTGCCTCTGCTGGTGGTGGCGTTGGTGGTGGTGGTGGTGGTGGCAGCGCAGTGGTTGGCAGTGGTGGAATTGGCATGCGAAGAATCGGTAGGGTAGGGGGTGGAGGGGGAGGGGGAGGTACGGGTGGGGATTGAAGTGATGGGGGCATTGAGGGAGGAAACATTAAAGGTGTAGAAACTGTTGCTGCTAATGGCGGTGGTGGTGGTAGTGGTGGCAGCGCTGTTGATGGTGGTGGTGGTAGTGCTGCTGCTGCTGTTGGTGGTGATGGTGGTGCTGGCGTGTTTGGACTTATGTTTTGCAGCAAACGTCGCTCCCCTCCCAACTCCCCTAACCACTGTTCTTGCCGTTGCAACAAACCTTCCACCAGCCTCCTCCGCCCACCTCCCTTCTTCCCCTTCTTCTCCCTCCCCTCCCTCACGTCCCGCCACTCCCTCGCCACCTTGAGCCCGAGCACCTGCGCATGATGCTCCTCCAACTGCTCCTCTCGCCCAAACAGCACCCACGACTCGCCATGCTCAAACGGCTCACACAGCACAGCAGCGGGGCCACTCTTGGAGCTCAGCAGGAAGACCCGATCAGTCAGCAGCGCGTAGGCAAAGGAAGAAACGAGGGAGAGAAGGCGGTTGCCCTGGCCGTCGGAGGAGTGGTAGTAGATGAGGTAGCGGCACGCGGTGGGCTTGCCGGCCAGCAGGGTGGAGCGCAGGAGGCCGAGCGGCTCGCGGTGGAGGCACTGGCGGCGGTAGGTGTGGTACTGCCGTAGCTTCACCTGCAGCTGCTCCGACATCCCATGCTGCTGCTGTTCGTTCTGCCCAGCTGTCTCAGAGGAAAATCCGTCTGTGTTTTCTTTGCTATGTTGTTGCTCTTGGAAAAGGCCTGCCCGCGTGCGCCTGTTGATGCCCGCGTAGCAAGGCAGCTCCGCCCGGCTCCAGCACTCCCCCGCCCGCCGCTCGTACCGCCGGTGGTGCCCCCACTCGCCCACCCTGCTGCTGCTGGCGGCAGAGTTGGGGGAGGTGTTATTCGAGTCAGAGGTGGAGGAGGGGGCCGCGGAGGTGGCATCTGGGGGCGAGTGGGTGGTGGGCGTGAGAGCCACTCCTGCTGCCAAGATGTCTGCACAGTCTGGTAGAGGGACGGGCGGGAGAGAGGGGGGCGTGAGGGTGGTGTGAGGGTGGTGTGAGGGTGGTGTGAGGGTGGTGTGAGGGTGGCGTGAGGGTGGCGTGAGGGTGGTGCGAGGGTGGTGTGAGGGTGGCGTGAGGGTGGTGTGAGGGTGGTGTGAGGGTGGTGTAGGGTGGCGTGAGGGTGGCGTGAGGGTGGTGTGAGGGTGGTGTGAGGGTGGTGTGAGGGTGGCGTGAGGGTGGCGTGCGGGTGGTGTGAGGGTGGCGTGCGGGTGGTGTGAGGGTGGTGTGAGGGTGGTGTGAGGGTGGCGTGAGGGTGGCGTGCGGGTGGTGTGAGGGTGGCGTGCGGGTGGTGTGAGGGTGGTGTGAGGGTGGCGTGAGGGTGGTGTGAGGGTGGCGTGCGGGTGGTGTGAGGGTGGTGTGAGGGTGGTGTGAGGGTGGCGTGAGGGTGGTGTGAGGGTGGCGTGCGGGTGGTGTGAGGGTGGTGTGAGGGTGGTGTGAGGGTGGCGTGAGGGTGGTGTGAGGGTGGCGTGCGGGTGGTGTGAGGGTGGTGTGAGGGTGGTGTGAGGGTGGCGTGAGGGTGGTGTGAGGGTGGCGTGCGGGTGGTGAGGGGGTGGTGCACGGGGAAGTGTTGGAGGCGAGAGGTGCATTAAGGGTTCATGAAGGGGACCACTCAGCACCGCTCTGCATCACATCACACGAACAGAGCGTACCTCAAAGACATCGATGCTCAACAGCTTTTTAGGCGCCTTTACAAAATCAAATTGGGGGTTTGAAAGGTGGACCACACAGCACCATTCAGCAATACTCGACAGCACTCAGCACAACTCAGCACTGCACCACTCAGCAGCACTCACCACCACTCAGCACCGCTCAGAACCAGCACAGCACAGCAGGCGGGCGTACCTCTGAGGTCGCGGTGGTCCCCAGCCAGCCCCCATGCACCGGCAATGCACGCCGCCGCCCACGCTGCAAGCAGCAGCAAGCGGCACAGCTGAAGCACCCCCTCACGCCTTAACAGCCGCCCATCGTTCACCGGCTGCACATGCTGCTGAGACGGCTCTCCTTGTTGCCCATCAGCCTGGAAACGAGCAGAGCGATGAAGGCTGTCAGGAGGCCAAGGCGGCCCTGCTGCTTCTCCAACTCCTTGGACTCCCAGAGCTGCCTCCACACGAGTGTGCGCGCTTTGAGACGTCTCAAAACCCCAAGGCGACCCTGCCGGCTCTCCAACTCCCTGGACTCCCAGTGCAGCCTCCACGCGAGTGTGTGCGCTTTGAGCCATGCTTATGGGAGGTTCCCAGCTCATGGGGTTGAGCTAGCAAGCGCGGATTTCAGCATCTTGGGGACTGTGCTGCTGCAGCCATGTGTGCATCAAGAAGCCGAGGTGAGCAGGGGTGAGCAGCGGTTTGAAGCGGTGAGCGGTGGTGTGTATTGCGAGCTGGTACAATGACCCCGGAAAAAGGAGGAGATGGCGGGGGGGAGGGCGATGAGTGAGGGAGGGAGGGAGGGGAGGGCTGGCTCGATATGCTTGCATAACGCCCCCGTGCCCACTGAGTCAAAAGGAGCGTGTTATAGAGGCGCAGCGGATGCCCTTTAACCCTTGAGGCAAGCCCGGCCACAGGCGCTACAGCTTGGGCCCTTCGACCGCTGTGCCAGCGGTGAGGTGAAGGCTACAGCTTGGGTGAGGATGTGCCGCTCACCGCTGGCGCTCAATGCACGGATGGCTGCCGCATGGCGTGACGAACGCTGCTGTTACAGCCTTTAGGACGGATCAGCGCAGGCCGGAGGAGAGGAAAGTAGCGCGCACGAACTAGCGAGGGTGGGGGGCGGGCGGGGAGAGAGGCGCGGAATGCGCGGAATGTGCGGAACGCAAGGTATGAAGAAAGGGGCGCGGCGGAAGGCAGGAGGGGAGGATGGCGGCGACGGGAGAAGACGAGGGGAGAAGGGGGAGCGATAAGCGGCGGAAGGAACGGGAGGGCGGCGGGCGGCAGGGACTGGTGGGGTGCTTGAGGATGAGCGCAAGCGAGTCTCCGCGGAGTTAACAGGTGCAGGGTGTACTTGTCACATGGCGGGCGGGGCGCGGAGGGGGCGGAACTGGCTGCGCCGCGCGGGGGAATACCGCGCGATGCAGGAGTTGAGTTCCGCCAGGGAGCGGAGTCAACGGCGAAATCGTGCCCTTCGCACTGCGGCGCGCTTCGAACAGGAAGCGAGACAATTAAACGCCGCGGCGCGCAATAGATACGCTCACTGCGCCTTGCGATGGCGGGCACGCTTTGACGGAGATGAACGTATGTAGCAGCGGGCAGCGGTGGGTCTCAGGAGTGGAGGGCGAGTCACAAGGATGGAATGACACGGTGTTCCACGAGTACGTATTTTGCAAAATACACTACCAAACCATTCTATACCTTAAAGCCGGCAGCCAAAATTGTTCATGCTTTTAAAAGATGACCAGAGGGAGTTTTTCTGGCGTGGGCTTTGGCGAGAGTTTCCAATTTCGTCTAGGTTCATTTTTTTCGCGAGACTCAGCCAACCCTCGTTTTTCCCCCTGGTGAGTGGGTCTGTCTTCGAAAGTCCCAAATTGCAGGTGCGTGACTTTCAAAAGCTTGGACACTCCACTTCGTCAAGTTTTAAAAACTTGACTCTCGCGCTCCGCAATTTGGAACGCGGGTTTTAAGTAGATCTCTCTATATCTTAACACGCCCCATTGAACCGCCTACTTGAGAAATGCCCTTACAAAGAAAAGCATCGCACAAGAGGAGAGGAACGGGAAAGAAAGACACCAGAAACAACTCAAACGCAACACCCATAAAAAGCCCCATAAAAATACTCTATAAAGAAAAAACCCAACCAGGATCCCCTACCAGACGTCCCATCTCGCACCCCATTCCCCCTCGCCCCCCCCCCCCCCCCCCCCCCCCCCCCCCAAGTCACATCTGCACATCCACCATGTAGGGGGCCTCCACCCAAAGAGGCCCGCCCTCCACCTCGACATCGTCCCTCTCCCGATCCACCAAGTCCACATTCAACCCCCCCATGGAAGACGCCGCCCGAAGCAGGATGACACGAGCTTGCGCCCGTTGTAACGCCACTCCGATGAGCGCCTTCAGAGACCCCAAAAGGTAAGCCGAGAACGAAGTGTCATCCTCCCGACAAGCCCCCCGTGACACAGCTAGCCCCACGTGCGCGTCCCCCTGCTGTCGAAGCCACCGCCGGAAGCGACCGCCGAGACACCCCCACGTCTCCACTATCAAAGGGGTGAACTGCACGCCTCGGTTCCGTGCAAGAAGAGGCGCGTAATCCCCCGTTTTGCGACGCTCCCACTCCTTTGCCGCCACGCCTATAGACCGCCCGCACTGCCCTAGCAGAGATGGAGACAGTGATAGCGGGTCCGCGACACTAATCTCTAAAGCATGAGCCTCCCCAGCCATTGGTCGTCGCACCGCTACGTCAACCCGCTTCCCCGGCAGCACCGCACTATCCTCCATCGTCACCACCCCCCCTGACGCCTTAGCGATCTTTGCCACCGCAAACTTCACCTCATCATGCACCCGAGATGGACCGTGTTGGTGCTTGCATCTCAGCGCATGATGCGGGTCTGCTGGGTCATCATACGCTGCGCCACAAACACACTTCCCCGCCACTTGCAGCTGCTGGATTGGGAGACCAAGCCGTATAGCAGCAGCAATGCCCCACTCCGCTGCAGTGAATGTGAGATCTGAATGAGCCGGAACTGCCGAAACCCATGCACCAGCCCCCGGGCCCTGAAGGGATGTGAAACGGGCTAGGGTGGCATCGTCACGAGCCAAGCGGCGGAGTGCCTGGAGCTCCTCAACAGCCAACTGCCGCTGCCGCGCCTGGAAAAGCCGAAGAGGAGGGGCCGCCACACACAGGGGTAAGTCCGGCAGCTCCTGGCGTATAGTCGCGGGCAACTGCTCAATGGCCTTGGCAAACCACGGGTCAAGAAGCTCCGCCCCCGCCGAAGTGGTGAGGTACTCTGCGAACATCGCCTCCTCGCCCGCCACCCCCAAATGTGCAATATCCCGTGCGGCCTGCGCCCACCCACAAACATAGGAGAGCGGACTCAAAGAGGCCGCCGCCCGGATCCCAAACCCTCCGAGGCGCACAGGGAGATGCAGCTGCATGCGTGCGCGCCTAGACCTGCCGGGATCCTGCTCCCAAGTGCCAGGGGGGAAAAGCTGCTCAAAGCAATCCTCCAGACAGCTGTCCCACTCTCTAAAGGCCTCCACCACCTCCGGCCGCGGCGGCATAGTCCGGGCCAGGTACATCGGCCGTGCTGAAACTGCAATAGCGAGGAGATGCGAGGCCATCTGGGGGTGGTCGAGCAGGGGGAGCCACGGCAATGGCGCCTGCAACTCGCGAAGCCGCTTCCGTAATCGGGCCCCCTCCCAATCCTCCTCCCCAATAGGCACGCCCACCACAATAAGACCCTCCTCCTCCCGCTGCATCCCCAAAGGCAATGCCCGCTCCATATCCCCACCTCCACGCTCCCAAAACCTGCACTTGTGCGCCTGCACTTCCAGCCCCACCCACTCCAACCTCTCTCGCAGCACCCCAAAAGCCTCCAGAATCCTAGCCGCTGGTCCCAGGATGTAGGTATCGTCTGCATAGCTCAAGAAAAGTAGGTCCCTGAACTCTCTAGTCACCGTCCCCAGCACCTGCTGCTGCGTGAAAGCGAAAAGAAAAGGGCCGAGCGGGTCCCCCTGTCGCGATCCTCGTGCCGACTCAAGACTCTGTACGAAAGGGCCCGCTCGGAGGTACAGGTCGCTAGGTGTCCCATAGAAGACACGCAAGAATGGGATCATTCCTGAGAAAGGCGACTCCTTCAGCCCCTCGAACATCGCGTGGCGATGAAACGAATTGAAGGCGTTCGCGACATCTATCTGCAGCGCACACCAGTCGGGGTGAGTGGCCAGCGCTGACCGGAAAGAATGAGTAAGAATCTCCACCCCGGCCCTGGTGCCCACTCCCAGCTGGTTACACGGCAGAAAATAAGAAGCCATCACAGGGCGAAGCGAGATGCAGAGAGCTCGAGCGAGGATACGCGGAAGCACCTCCCCGATCGCCACCGGCCGGACGTCACCGTTGGGTTTGGAAAGCCCGACTAGGTTGGATGCGGCGAGCCAGGGCCGAGCTCGCTCGGGGACCTGTCCCGCCACCCATTGGTTGAACACTTCCAGCAGGTGGGAGAGGCAGGAAGGTTCCGTGAGGAAAGTGTCGCGCAGATGCTCTGTGACCCATCCCGATGGCCCTGCAGCTGAGGCGCGAGCAGCTGTGTGGATAGCTCTAGCCAGAATGTCGGTCGTGAGTGGAGGCCGCTGAGGAGCGTCGACAGTAAACTCACGAACCCACGGTGGTACCTCGCCACTGCTAGCTGGGTGCTTCCCTCGCAGCGACTGCACCATAGCCTCAGACGGTCGAGCCAACTCTCCTGCTGTGAGGCAAGACAAACCACGGCTCCACTCTCCCACTTTACACCGAGATCGGCACCGTGACAGGCGGATGGCCTCCGGGTCCTGGTCAGAGCACGTGTAGGCAAGTGGGCGAACTGCTGGCCGTGCCGCCGCCATGGCAGCGTCGAACAACTCCCGCCACCTCCCCTCCCAGAAGGCCCCCAGCCGCTCTATGATCAGCGCCTTCTGACCTATGCCTGGCTTGGGAGGCACGGCTAGGATGAGGCGCGGAAACGCCAGGAGTAGGAGGGTAGCAGCTTCATCTCCCGGTCGGCTCTTCAGCCGCTTCAAGATGCAACAGAGTGCGTCTAAGACCCCGGACCGGGCCCGCTGCGGGATCCGGCGCACTGTCCTCCCTCCAACCGCCTCCACACAGAAAAATGCCTCCCACTCCCATGACTTAACCCCTGCCCACGCCTCGTCCCCAAATTCCCGCGGCGTCGGTCGCTCCTGTGTGTCGGTCTCCACCAGAGACGGGATCGAGCCAAGTGCCTGCGCGCGTCTCTCCGCCTCAGCCGCCCGGCATACCCTCATGTGGTTCGCAGCGGCCCCTCTCGTGGCGAACGTGTGGAAACACGTGTCACACGGGAAACGGGGGCATGGGGAAGGCGGACTGGGTGGTTCTCCGTCCGCCTCTGACTCCTCCGCAGTCGCCATGGGGGTATCAAACTCCAAAAGTCGGCACCACTCCTCCAACTGCTGTTCCCGGTCGTCCATCGATCCCCCCCCTGCCTGCTGCGTACCCTGGGGTGCCCCGGGCACCCCCGGCTGCCCCCCTGCCTGCTGCTCTCCCTGGGGTGCCCCGGGCGCC